AGAATAATTCATTCTTTTTGGAAGATTGGTGGTCATTGTTCATCTTCATCCCATACAATGTTCATCTTCAAAATTCTATTATCACATAATCAGAATTCAAGATTCCATTCCAGTAGAATGTTGTAAGTTTTCATATGTACCATGTTTTGCTTTGATATCTCTCGTTTCGTACCTACAAAAATGATGGTATTCAACACTTGATCATTATAAACCAACAATCTAAGATAAAATTCAAGCATAAAGAAGCAAACCAAAATAAAGTCATGCGAAACCCATTAAAGAGAAATGGATTCGTGATTCCATTCCAACAGAATTATAATTAATGATTCCATTCCAACAGAATTGGATTCGTGATTTCATACAATTCGTGAACAAATGTCAACAGAATTAGAATTCATGATTCCACGCACCCCTCTCTTCTATGTTTCCTCTTAATGAACCCCATGTTTCCTTTCATTCTACATGGATTCCAGTAAAGAAATACAAGAACAATCTTGTTCTTGCCCTTATGTACCCAGCAAACCAACAAAAAAAGGGCATTTCCCCCATTCGTTCAAAAATATATATATTTTTATACCAAAGAAAGATAAAATTGGATTTTAATTTTAAAACACATGCTTCGTAGTTCATAATTCATAGTTCATACCCAAAGGAAAATTAAGCATACCCTGAATAACGGTCTTGAATAAAAATTGAAAAGGTTGGTTCAAGCATTTTATCGACTAGTTGGTGTGCATCCTAAGAGCTACAATCAAATCTCATAACGAAGGCAGCAAAATATCCCCTATTCATTTCATCTTTACTGACCAAAAGCACACAAACTTCAACAAAAATTCAACCACATCTTAGACAATAATCCACTGATGATTTAAGTAATTATAAGAAATAGAAAACGCACCAATTGCTGCTCAACAATAGCATAAATCAAGGCATCGTATGTTCGTCACTAGCTGAACACGCGTTATCATCTTTATCTCCAGAAAAATCGGATCGATGAGCGGACCCAATAATCGGATGTTTTCAACTGCAGATGAATCTTTTCCTAAACAAGCCTGGATCGTTTTCAGGGGGAAACTGAATCGTCACATGGAGGAGAGACAGTCGGCGACGCAACAGCCGGCGGCATAGACTATGACAGCCGATTAGTGTCACCGGTGGAGGCACGATTCTGACGTTGAAGACCAAGACCTTTTGTGGTTCCTCCGATAATTTGAACTTCATCATTGCTAGCCGGTGATGTCCGTCGCAGACATCGACCTCTTCCGCCATGATCGCCCCCTGGATCAGTGTTGTCCCGATGCTTCTTCCCTCTACACCTCCTCGCGATTTCCCAACTATCACAGAAGCTCCATCGTTCTGTCTAGGGTTTTAAAGGGTTAAATGTAAACGATTTTGCCTAACTTAAAGGGTTTATGAATTGAATAATTAATTATCAAAATTAATTAAAAGCTAAGATTACAATTTTAGCCCTATCCAGGTTTTTAAAATGATTGGTCCACATTTATGCATACAATAACACGATAATTACTTTAAACACCTGAACATATCTCAAGTAATACAAATTTATGTAAAAATAAGTTTAAATTGAAAAAAGTTACTTTTATGTAAATAATGAAAATAAAAAAGGAAAACAAATATGTTGAGACGTAAATTTGATGGAATTTATAATAGTTTATTTTAAGAAGGAATTGAATTAATTAAATCAATGATTTTCACTAAAAATAAAATGGAACCAATAAGCAAATTACATGTAGAAAACAAATAAATCAAAAATTATGAGAAAAATACATGTGACAAATTAAAGGAGAAGATGACATGTGACAATAAGATCTTTATTTATTAGGGAGGATGGTGAAAATTTGTGGCGAAATTTGAAAAACAACACAATTCCTCACACATTTATGGTTGTAGAAAATGATTGTTGCAAGTGGAATATTTAAATAAGAAAAGAGACCCAATCGTACAAAATAATTATTTCTCTTGAAAAAAAAATCCAATTTCAGAGGTCAAGTAGATCGGTTTTTATTAATTTTTAAGGCGTTTGACATGTACGATTGAACATGTTTTTTTGCAAACCGGCTGATTTTTACTGGTTCAATCTGATCCGACCCGCTACAAATATTATTGACACCTTTGTTTTTATTGGTTTCATTTAATTATAAAACACATGATTTTTTATTTTGGATTCGGTTGTAATTGAATATTAGATTTCACATCATAATTGAATATTAGATTTCACATCATAAATTACACCACAAATGATCCTACTTCCTAGAACTAACTTACATACTATACAATTATACATAATAGAAAAACAAATCAACAATTAGATTTATGCATCAAATATCTCAATGTTCCAGTATACATCCCTTGTAAATTGTCGTTAAAATTACTCAAGATTTGACTCTTTTCCTTAAATCCTCATACGCTTCACTATGTCTCATTAACCAAAATCTCTCTATTTCTTCCGGTTTCCGTCCCGGAATCCTGCCAGCTATTAAATCCCACCTGAAATGTGTACCATATAAATTAATCATTATCATTATCATTAATAAACAATGGCTAATTATATACGTATCCTCAATTGTTGGTTGTACATTGTATGAGTGGGTGGGTGTGTGTACCCCTATGGTTGTACATTGTATGAGTGGGTGGGTGTGTGTACCCCTATGTTTGACTTTTTAATGTGAGTGAGAAGAATATATAATAGTAGTTATAAACATTTAAGCATTTTAATTAAACTTTTTTAGAAATCTCAAAATAGCCCTTGAACTTTATAAAATTATATTTTAGCCACTGCTTTGAATATTTATGACATTTTAGTCACTGTTTACTTTTAAAAACTACAAAACTATAGTTTGGTCTTACGAATGAATTCTTTTTATCGCTAATATGTATTTTGGTCATGTTTCATTATATACATATTTTTAAACGTGGATTAGGGTATTTTTGTGAATTTTTTACAAATTTTTATCTTATATGTAGTAAAAGTAAAATACTATAATCGAAACATTTAATGTTCTTGTACCTTCTTTTCTTACTCTCTCTTTATACTCCAATTTCTCACTCAATTCGAGTATGAAACCTTTGCTATTTAGTGGTTTTGGATAGGTAAACGAAGGAGTGTGATTTAGAAATCTATTTTGTTTTCATTGTTTAGTCCGTTTTCCAAAATTTTGTGACATATATAATGTGTATTTTCTAGGTCCACTGAATTATCACAATTTTTTTTTGTAATGGAAATAATAACATGTACAACTGATAAACAAATTGTCATACATGTTCGATTCCAAATATGTACCAACAAAACCCACCTTGTCTTTTAGCATTTATGGAAAGATTTCGACATAAACTCCATATATACAAACAACTACCCCCCTCCCCCAATTAATTAAATATTGTAAGATAGATATTGAGTCCAATATTATATCTTTAGAATAGCTCTTATGTAGAGACGAGAGACTCAAACATATATAAAGACATAAGGTACTGTGTCACAATGATGTGTTAAGCCACAGAGGTGCGAACGCCGATTCTGATATCATTAAGATATATGTTGAGTCCAATATTGTATTTACAAAAGAGTCCTTTACGAAGAAAGAGAAGACTCCAACAAATATAAAGACAGAAGGTACCATATCGCACCGATATGAAATACGTACAAATACAAGCCATTTTTCTTTCATAACTAATTTACAAAAATATTGGTTTTCTAAAACTATGTTGTTAAGTTGTTAGAAATTTATATGATAAGAATAATGGTTAAATTACATGGAAAACGACTTAAAATGGCAACCAATAAAACAAAACTTATTTTTTATGTCACTAAACTTTTAATTGTATCCAATAAGAAAACTAACTTTTTATTTTGGTTTTAAAATAACAGTGATTATGATTTTTATCAATTAAAATGACAACAAACATTTGCCGTTGCCACATCTAACTAAAAGCCTCTGGTAATTATTTTCTCAAACCACAACCAATAACCATTAGCAACACCATATTGTTTTGTGACGTTCCCTAAATAATACATAATGTGCTAATTGACTTTACATTATACTTTTTTCTATAAAATACCATATGGTAGGTATAATGGTAAAATAAAACAATACGTAGCTTTTGGATGTTAAGAGTGACATTTTGCCGGTTTCCTAGATTTCATACCATTAAATCGAATTATTAAAAAAAAAAAAAAATTTCTGCCGATGTTTTATATGCAACTTTTAAGAATTTTTAGATTTTAGGAAAAACAAAATTGAAAAAAAAAAAAAAAAGAATTTGCTCTGCAATATGAGTTTTTAGCTTTTCTTATTTCAAGTAGCTTTTAAGAGTTTTTAGGTTTTGGTTTAAATAGTTTTAAAACTTTAAAAGTTAGCAACTACTTTTGTCAAAAATTATAACATCACCTACCATATAGTTTTGTCAAACACGCTCAAAATCATTACATTTACTCTGAATTATTAGAAAAGTCGGTATGTGATTCATCTTCGATTTACCAGTCACAAATGAACATGTTGTGTACATTATTCTGATGAGATTCGTCTATGGTGACACCAATATGAATATCCACTAAAGGTATGACAACAATCAAAAGAAACACAATCAAGCTAACGTGTTATCAATAGCTTTAAGAAACCAATCCATGGCACAAATAATTTCATTTAAATGCAATGGGTATAAAATTTTAGCATAATAAACTTCTAAATAATTTAATGTTAATGTTTTCATGTATTTTGTTAATGTATCATTTCGGTGCAACATAGTAATTTATGTCTTTATATATTGGAGTCTCCGTGTCCCTATAAGGTCTCTATATATATTTCGGAGAATAGACCAATGATTCCATATATATCTTATATATCTACAAGCACAATAATACTATTAAATGAATGGCTAGCATAATAGCATAATATCTAAGAAAGAAATTTATCATTGATAATTCTATATCCAAAAAAAAAAAAAAAAAAAAAAGTAAGCTAACCTGTTACCAACAAGTTTGTGCATTCTATAAATGATATCTTCTTCTTGTTCGCTCATATTAATGAACTCCCATTTTCTACTGCTCACCTCTGCAAAATTCACTTGTATGATGGTAAAATCAATCACCAATATTGTGCATGATTTGAATCTTTTGAACTCCAATTACGTGATCGTAATTTATAACTATTCTTTTGGCTTAAACTTGTAAATAAAAAATATAGTTTGGTAAATTAAAAAGAAAATAATATTATACTTGAATCTTTTGCCCACTTTTTAACAGTTTTATTTGTCATTCTAATTATAAGAATAACGAGTCTTTGTGGCCATTGAGGTTCGCCTGCAGTGACTCCAGGGCATGAAACAAAGTCTCATGTTTGCAGCGGGGATTAGTCGATGCGCGAAAGCTGGTCCGGAAACCCTCGTTAGGGAAGTTCCCTTTCAAAAAAAAAAAAAAACGTGTGATATTATAGTGTGGCTTTCTAACAAATGATCATTTTGGTTGCAAATTTTCCAAATATAATATTTGAAAAATTATAATGTCTACTATTCTCCTAATCTCAAAAATTATAATGGTTACTAACCATTACCCAAAACGACATATAATATAGTCCGAGATGTAACCAGGTGTGGCACCCAAATCTATCATGAGTAACTACAATCCCAAACCAATTATGTTAATTTAACAAAAACAAAGGGAACTCAGATATAACTTAAATATATTATGGCATTTCAAAATAACTTCAATAAAATAAGTTAAATAACCCAAAAATTTACAAAAATGGTAATACCTTAAAGAAATTAGATTTAATCTGTCAATTAAATATATATGAGAATTGAAAAAACAGGAGATTAATTCCTTCTAAAACTCACCTTCAAACTCAGAATTGTGCTTCATGGGGGATTGACCAGTCTTCCTCCTACGTTTATCCATCAAGAGGGAGAAGAAAGAGAATGATCTAATGAATTTATAGGATGTTCAAGACTATGGCATTTTTTATGACTCTATGTCCTACC